ATTTTATTTTATGCTAATCTGGATCTGTTTAGTGTTTTTGTAAATATATATGACAGTTTTGTAGGAATGAACACATTTATTGTGTTTATTCAAAATAAACTTGCTTCTTTTTACTTCTGTAACATATTTAAAAGAAAATAATAGTAAAAATCCTCAAATCATGTCCTGTTTCTACAAATTGTCTTTGTAACACTTCAGAAGAACTCTTAAAGGCACAGTKTGTAGGATTTTGTCAATTCTTTTAGCTGAAATTGAGATAATCACTAATGACAAGAATAAAAAAAACATGTCTAATCATTGCAGACAAAGACCTTGTTTTATTATTTTTACCTTATAAAAAGCTGTTTATATCTCCATGGTCGCGGGTCACCACTACAGGCAGCCGCCATCTTGTCTACGAAGGCTCATGAAGGACAAACTGCGTAATCTGAGTAATTATTGATAAGGTAACCATGCTGTGGCTTCATCTGTCGCTTTTCCTTTAAAGAAAACAAAGGTAGCTTGCAAAGCTGTCGCATCGGACAGTTTTTGTTGCGCGTCACATCCCACACACATACATACCGGTACACAGGTGCCTTGCTATCTTTGCGAGGACTACACACACAGCCTTGCTCTGCGCACAAGAACCTGCGGTGCTGGTTTTTCAAAATAAAGTATATCTTAACTTTTCTTTGATGTTTATAGAGGGTTTCAAAGTCTGATTATGGTTAGTATAAGAGTGCAAATATAGGATATAAATATATATGATATGATTTACACTGTTTAGCCTAATATAGGCCTATTATTAAAAAAAATACAAACAAACTTTATTCTGAAACTGTGGCGGCTATGACTTTTGCCGAGGCGGTGCGCCACGATCAATTAGGGTCAGGTGTGTACATGTGAGGTTAGAATCAGGGGTCAGGATTAGGTTGTATAAATTAATGAAAGTCAAAGCAACATCCCCATAAAGATAGTTGTACCTGATCGTGTGTGTGTGTGTGTGTGTGTGTGTGTGTGTGTGTGTGTGTGTGTGTTTCTGCACCACCAGGAAGACATCACAGCTCACTCATGACAAACTGATCTTACCTTTCCCTGAGCTGAAGGAGTAGTCCATCTCCATGCTGGACCTGGAGTGGGACACACAGAGAGCTGAGCTCGGAACCAGTCCTTCCTGCGGCGGACTGCGGTCTGTGGTTCGGACCAGGCACCAACTGGGCCGCTCGCTAGGCCGCTCGAGTAGCTCCACTGTCTGACCTGCAGAAACGATAAGAACAGACAGTCATCTTCCTTCGAAGACGTTACAGACGAGGTGTGCGAGGAGCTGCTCTCACCTGTTGTGACGGAAAGCTCAGTGCTGCATCCTGCTGTGAAGTCCTGCAGAACCACCGTCAGCTCACAACCACCTGAGAGCTGCAGACAGAGAGGAAAAGCTTCACATCTCACATCACTTCCTGTCTGTGCAGTGTCAGCCAAACAGCTCCAGAGAGTCAGCCGGGACTCAAGCTGCACAGAACTGTTTMTTTGCATTGAACCTTTAACAGTGAGAAGAGCTTTATTTATACAAAACATTCACATACAAAGATGTTCACTCAGAATTGTTTTTCTAAAACAGTGCTGTTTCTAAAAATGTCCTCATAAAAATGGAATTATTTATGCTAATGTTGTTTATACATGCGCATTAGTATGGGGTGCCGTTTGTAAAGTCACACAGTCAAAAATTACCACCAATATCTTTGTTTTATTTAGCCTTTTATAAGAAAAAAAACAGATTTATTTTTCAAAGTAAGTTTTTCACCCTATGATTCATACATTTATAAATGTCATAGTTTATAAACTAAATATTTAACTTGCAAATTAAGTATTTAGTTAAGCTAAATATTTAACTTGTGACTTAAATATTTAGTTTTGAGCCAAAGGTTTAGCTAGCAACTTAAATATTTAGCTCGCAAGTTGAGTATTGAGTTTTTTTTATAAAAGGCTAAATAAAACAAAAATATTGGCGGTAATTTTTGACGTAACTTTACAAATGGCACCCCATACATTAGGGCCATTTTGCAGATTAAAAAAATAAACAAATAAATTTCAGCCAAAACAGAAGTAGAAAACAGAAAAAAAAACTCAGAAATTTTTATGATCAAAAGCAAAAAATTTCAATATTTAAACTTCTGACATTGTAAAGTCAGAATTTGCCAGAAAAAAAAAACTATTAAGTTTTCAGGAAGCTGAAGTTGCATCTTCCGATTTAGGAAATAGCTAAAGGTTCATTCCACCCATTTTTTCCACCTTGAGCATCTTTGATTTGCTTTAGTTTAAAAACTAAAACATGTAGACATGTCAAACTTATACTAGATTATTCTGCACTTATAGCAGAATATCTAATCTAATACATCTACGATTTGTAAAACATTTAATTTGTGAAACTTCAGTAAAGGGCAGTTTTAGAACCTTTTTATGGATTTTAAGAACAAATTGAGCATGACCAGATGGGGGAGAGGTAAGAGAATTAGAGGGATTAAAACAATAGCAGCATCCAAAATAATCATGTATAGAGCAAAAGATAAATAATTCAAATGATTCATAAATGAATGTCTTTTTTGCAGCAAAATAACTTCTGATGAAAGAGCAGAAGTAGATAGACAAATCATTTTTTAGAGTTTTAACCAGGACTTTTTCCCCACCGTGGAAACCCCTAATCCACATCCAAAAACTCATTTTTCTAGTTTGACTTTTCTTTAATTCTGCTCGAACTATTCTGCCATTATTGTATTCTAGACAATAATTTGAAGAATCTATGTGTTGTAGTTTTGGAGCTGGGCCAGTTCTAGTGTAGTCCAGTTGCAAAAAACAACATAAAAACAAGAAAGAAAAAAAACACCTATAAAAATTCATTTTATTGAAGTTTTACAAGTCAAACATAGGTTTCACAAATCTCACACTTGATTTTAAATATTCTGCAATTAGTGTAGAATAATCAAGTCCATGTTTGAAGTGTCTACGTATTTTAATTTTTAAACTAGAGCAAATTAAATATGCTCAGGGTAGTGAAAAATAAGTGGAATTGTCCTTTGGCCGTTTCCTGTACCAGAAACTGCAACCAATTTAAGCTTTATGGAAACTTCAGTGTTTTTCTTGTAAATGTCTGACCTCACAATATCAGAAAACATTTAGTTTAAACATACATTGTTTTGCCTTTAATTATAGACATATCTGAGTTTATTCTTGCAAATTTATGACTTTTCTACATTAGAGTTATTTGGCCAAGATGTATACCTTTTTTTTTCTACAAAATGGCCCTAATACGTTGTTGTATGTTTTCATTCATACAAAAACATGCAACAACCATCTTGAAACACTTTAGTGATTATGTAAGGCCTGTATGTGACTACACTGTAGACTTATCTGGGATTTTCTCTGTCATTTGCAGCAGAGAACGAAGTGGTTGGAGGTGGACAACAAAATAGTTTCTACAACTTATAGTTTTCAAAGCCTTGAACAAACAAACAAACAAAAACGACCATTATTTTCTACAACTGGCCATGCAGAAATGTTGCTCCATGGTTTTCTGGTCATAAACACTGAGTCGTATTCAAATCTAACCGTACAGATTCCCACCCCTAGAATAATCTGCATCTCCTTTGAGAAACGTTTCATTTTCAGACCCAGAGGATTGTTTTCTTATTTGAATAAAAAGGTAATAAAAAAAGTGGAAGATAAAAACAAGTCTGGTTCTCTGGGATGATTACTGTAGAAACATCAGGTGACAGCTTGGTGATGGTTTATACATGCAGGGTTTAGTTTCAGAGCTGCAGAGTTTTTATCACTCCTTATTTACCAGTAAACAGCAACACCCATCATTCAAACCTCTATTTTCAGACAAACTTTTCTGGAAAACAACAAATATTGATTAAAAAAAAAGTTGAACTTGATTTAAATAATCAGATTCAGCAGGACAAATTATAATAAATGGTGACAGAGTTTAAACGAGGCCATGCACCCTCCCCTTTCCTCCCCTGTTTTGGAAAATGTCATGCAGCGTTAATGTGTGTGTGTGTGTGTGTGTGTGTGTGTGTGTGTGTGTGTGTGTGTGTGTGTG